GATAGGACTCTGAAAACTCTGAAAACATCACAGACAGTGGGACTCGGGTGTTACACCCATTGTAGACAGTCATGACTCACAGAGTTATTTTCAGAGGAGATACTGGATTTATATTACATTTAAGTGTATCACATATAAAACCTTTAATCTGTCTCCAAATTAGTACTGATAAATAAATATTAAATTTATACATTTTATATTCATATTTGTAAATATTGTTTATATTTTCAATTGCCTGCGCTTGAACATTATAGCTTATTACTTATACTACCGGTACTTTATTATTGCTTTCACTTGGTACTTATGCTTATTATATTGTAGACAGTCATGACTCACAGAGTTATTTTCAGAGGATATACTTGATTTATATTATATTTAAGTGTGAAAAATCACATATAAAGACTTATACCCTTTTTAAATATATTCAGTTTTTCATTCAGACAAAGTTGACACGGGCCCCCCCCCCCCCCCCCCATAGTCCTCTAATCTTTATAAATAACCTCGTCTGAACCTCCTCACACGCCAAAGAAGGTGTGAAGGATGCAGTGACCCCCTTTGGGCTGTACAACAAATAGTACCTCTGAAATAGGCAGCCAATGGCAAGCATCTACACCCTGTGTCAGACAAATATCTACACACGCAAACACACAACACTTTTTACTTTTTAAGCCTTTAAAGGGAGAGTTCAGATCGTTTGAAGGGGGTTGGGAAAGTTACTTTAATAGTGAATGTACTACACACATTGGATGATGTCAACTTTTATTTTTTAAGGTAGAACCTTTTTTCTAAATGGCTAAAATACATGTTTTTCATGACCCTGTATTTATGCAAATTACTTACATTGCATAACTCGACCAAGTTTCTCCAAACACGGGCCATGCAGACTGTCATCTACTTTATGAAATGCACTCACTCACTAATGATACCTGATAGACCACCACTTCAAAAATCATTAACAGAAGCTTTAATAATAATAAACTGCAGAGGTCAGTGGTCATATCCTCTACTTCAGTGCTTCCCAAAGTGTGGGCTGTGGCCCCCTGGTGGGCCGTGTTGGTACTGCAGGTGGGCAGCGAAAAGCCCTCAACCAAGTATTAAAATAAAAGAAATATCACAATAATGATGAGTTACCACGAGTCAACCCTTTAAGTGATTAGTAAGGCATGTCATGACTATTCATTTTAAGTTTGGGAAAGGCTGCTCTACATCTACCTCTGGTAGGGCCAGGAGGGGGTGAAAGACCCATTGTGCTAAACTACAGTAACTATAAAGAACTATAGGAAGAGGAAACTCAGGGATTATGTCACTTGAGTAGGGAGCATAAGGATTAATAATAATTAATAATTCCTTGTCTTCTTCTGGTTTCCCCCTTTTTGAAATGACGATTACATACTACTGCTGGTCTGATTATTTCTGTCTATTGCACTCTACATGTACATCATGACAATAACAATCAATTAACTATTACATAGCAGTGTATAAGATGTTTTGAAATGCATCCGCCTGAAAATAATCATTTTACATTATTTGAATAAAATGGCTTGAAATAGATAAGGACACATTTTCCTCCATATGTGCGGTGACAGTCTGTTGTAATTATGCAGGCGTGTGATGAGAGCGCTGGCTTTTGGTTGGCTCTCTCCAAGAAGGAATCTGTGTTACAGATGGTGTATCTGGTATCACATCTGTCCAGGTGCTGCGGTTTGGCCTTCAAAATAAACTGAAAATGAGCTGCATCCTCCTCTCCCAGCTCATTATCATCTATCTGTGGAGTAAATCTAGAGTCTGAGAGGGGAGCAGCATGGTGGAAAAAAAGACCTTCATAAAACTGTAACAACAAATCAGTGCCTCATCGGTCTGCTTTGTTTTTTTTTTTGGGGGGGGGCTTTTTGTGCCTTTAATGGAGAGACAGGACAGTGAATAGAGCTGGAAATCAGAGAGAGAGAGTGGGGAATGACATGCGGGAAAGGAGCCACAAGCTGGATTTGAACCCGGGCCGCCACTTTTAGGACTACAGCCTCCATAAATGGGGCATGCAAACCAACCACTGGTCGATCTATGGAGTCTGACGTCACTTTCCTGCGCCGTCCACTTTGCCATTTCATTTTCGAGTTGGTTTGAATTATGAGAACTTTTTAGCACGGCAAGTTTGAAAACGAAAAGCCAAAGACCTTTTAATTTCCATTTGAATGATGTCATACAATATGCATACATAGAGTGCAAAAGTATAATGCAAATTGACTGAATATTAATTTTAAATATAGGTCAAATAAAGCACCTATATTCTGAAAATTAAAACGTCTTTCTGTTATTGCATTTTCATTTTAAAATTAGCTTTTTCATTTGAATTATGATACAGATTTTGTGGGGCTTTTTTTGAAAATGAAAAAGCAAATGTCATTTTCTTCCTCATTTTAATTTAGTCAAAGAAAGTGCATTTTTGAAGTTGAAAACTAAAATTCTAATTAGATAAATTAGTCATCATAGTCAAATAATACACCCATATTCTGAAAATTAAAAATAATTTCTGTTATTGCATTTTCATTTTCAAATGAGCTTTATCATTTGAATTCTGATCACTAATCGCTTCCATAGCCGGTCTGCTTTGTTCAATGGAATTACAGCTAACATTGTTGAGATGAGAAGATGATGACAATATTTCGTCTTATGGCATAATCTTTTATTAACATTTTTCAACGGTTGGATGATGATACATATCTCAAAATCAGGAAAAATGGTGGCAGGTTGGTCTTCAGCCAGAATACAGTAGGCAAGTGTCAAAGTTCAAAAATGTTGCGGACATTAAATACCCCCCACCCCCCCTCCATGACGTTGGTTACAGTCATGATGACCTAACAAAGACATTCCATACCCGATGGTCTCTTTACTGGACGGATGACAAACAGAAACATTGGCGCAGGAAAGAATAGTTGCCTCGTACCCTGATCTTAAGCAGTTAGCCATGTGCTGGACGTCAGAGGCATTCAGAGTTTTCAAAAGAGCATTACAGCGTAGCTCGCTATAATTATGACACATTTCTTTGTCCGTCAAAATAGCTCTGGCAGCAAGAGATCACAAACGAGACATGGCATCCCACTACTGAAGCGTAGAAGACAAGAACGCCACAGGAACGGGATGAGAGCTGTGTCTCTGTGACCCAAAATGCCTGAGGTGAAGCTGCACATTCAAGCGGAAAGACAAATTATAGTCCAAAGCTGATATGTACGAGCATCATGCATATGTCTGAATACAGATGTGGTGTTTTTACGTCACTGAAGACAGTCAGGTCTTAAGGACAAATGGAGTCATTATTGTACAGTCGTTCAAGCAATGCCTTTTAATAATGACTCGTACTTAAGGAGGACATACATCAAACCTGCTTCTGGAGGAGTACGGCAGATTTACTCCATCTAGTAGGAGGAGATGGTGACAGCAGGTATTTGCATCATTGGACTCCGGATTTGCAACATTGGAGGTGTTGAGCTGAGACCTTGTTTGGACATGTTTTTCAGGATGTAGATGAAGTCTTTTCTGCACGCCTTCTCAGAAAATGACAGTAGTAGGAATACAGAATTAGGCTGACGCGTTGCAACATCTGCTCGACACTTTGGAGACGTCATCCCCGAGTGTGTTTTGACTTTCCCTCTACCTGTACAGTTCTTTATAGTTACTGTAATTTTCTGCAATTGGCAATTTTCTCCTCTGATGACGAGAAGCAACCTGTTTAACTGAACATTATCCTTAGTCCTTTGAGAGTCCTTGGACTATTTTCCTCTTTACCTTCTGTTGATGCTCAGGGTTTTAAAAAAAGATGTATTGGATGAATACATAGATGGGGGGAAAAAAGGTGAAAACAAATAAACAGCAGTTTAGAATTTAATCTGGTACAGTTTGTACAGGAGGGACAACAACAGCATTTGTTGGAGGAATTTATTATTTTGTTCATTGAAGTGTTTTATTTTGAATTAATTTTGGATTGTTTTCACTCAGTTTTCAGTCAGTTGAATACTTATTATTGACGTTGTTTTAATGGTACTTGTAAGATTTACCCCATTTGGTGCAAGATTGTTTCTAGCGCAAACGCAATTCAAGAAAACAAACTATGAGACAGAAAGACCTGACGCAGAAGAATTTGAGAAAATGAGGAAAGCAACATTTTAGAAAAGATTCACGAGTGATTTAAGAGAGAGTTTCAAGAGACTATAAATTTGAGGTATACAAATTTGAGATAGAGAGGGAGAAACAGAGAATAGAGAAATTAAAAACACGAGGAGCAGCATCAGTGGTGGAAATGATCTCATCTTTATTCAGAGTCAGTGCTTTAAACATTGTGTCATCAGGAAGCTGTAATCAGAGCCCATCAGGCTCAGAGTAAATGACGGCATTTAGTCGTTTAAAAGCCCGCTTTGTGGAGGATAATCATACGGTGGGGACTTGGTTTGTGAATGTCACTGAGCTCTCTCCGGGTTTTAACACTAAACATGTGTCTTCCTTTATGTTACAGATTTAGATTAAACCCCAAAACCTCAAAATTTGAGTTTTTTACTGTAATCTGCACTCTGCATGTAAATCACACATAAAGGCGGCTGTTAGGGTTTCTGGTTTATTTTTATAGTTAGATTCAAGAAAATGAAAAAAAAAAACGACATTCAATACATTTTATACAAAAGTTTGATCCGACCAAGCATTCTGATTAGACAAGAGAACATCACTGGGACTGTGTCCAAAAAACCGCATACTTTTCAGACTTTTCATACTAAATGTGACGTCACATCAATGATGTAGTATGACCCGAAATCATAGTGGGCAATCATGTGCATGCGTGCATGTCTTGTGACTGTTAAAAAAACACGTTACAGATGCGACATGTACTGCTTTTTGCTAGCTTCCTGAAACACTCAGTAGTGATATATTAGATACAGACTCAGTGAATGATCAATAAGTTATATCTTCCTGCATGTCATTAATGAAATTGCCTCGGGCTGTGTTTTTCCTTTCAGATACCCACGATGCAGTTTTACGGTTCAACGCTGCACCCACAGAGGGATACGAGAGAGACGTTGGAAACAAAACCACTATTCGCATCATCAACTCACAGGTGAGTGACTTAGAGAGCGGCGTGATGCGTGAATCATTGATTAAAAACTCAGAGGATCTGCAGCACTCTGCGGCACACGATGTAAGACTAGTGGAGACGCATACGAGGGAAATGTAAATGATTCATGACTCTGATCTAATTATTATTTTAGCAGTAATAGTTAATGTTCTTTTTATGAAGTACAGCCATTCGAGCCGCTGCCTAACTAGAACGAGAACTCAGCTCAGAGTTGAACATTGGGACTGGAATTTCGAGCATTTGGTACATTGAATTGCGGAAGTGAAGGAAAATCAAGCTGACAGCAGACGTCTTAAAAAAAAAAGTTTTTAATTTTGATTCACATGATTTTGAGAATCCAAAAAGATCATGTGGTTTGGTCTGATTATTTCCCATTGCTTTACCGTCATTAACCCTTTTCACACATACGGAAATCTCCTGAAAAACTCCAGAGATTAGTCGACCCAGAGGTTCTTTAAGCTGTGTGAATGCAAACAGACACATTTTTCGCGCAGACTTTACCCAGAGTTTCTCCTCCAGACCTCTAGTATTTTATCTGCAGAACATCCGAGTGAGCTGATGTCTGAACGCAGCAGCATACACTCCAGAGATTTCAACTGGAGCCAATAGAAAGAGAATGACGTTTATTTAGTGACTGTCTAAAGTGTCTGCACGCGACCTCTACGATCTCCGTGCTCTAATGAAACGTCTGCATTCTGTTTTCTGTTGGTCAGTTTGTTGTTCTCCTCTCTTTTGTGGATGTTGTCATTCCATTGGAATACACATAGCATTGATATAAAGACAAATATTCTCATTATAACGTTGTGTAGCGGACTCCAGTGTTTCCCCTAGGTTTGAAGCGTTGACAAGCGGGGACAAGCTGACATGCCGACACGGCGACACAAACACTTGAAGGAGTCTTGGTGTTCATGTGTTACTTTTAATGACAGCTGTCCTTTTCTATCGGAAAGGTATCCTTAAATGACTTCTCTCCCTGATTTCCGACTCTATCCACTATCCTATCTCTACAATAAAAGGCCCAAAAAGCCCAAAAATAAATCTTAAATTAAAAAAAAATACCTCTTACCTCGGGAAATCCCCCGCGCCCCCTCCCCCCTGACAGGGAAAGTCCCCCGCTGTGAGGAGCATATGTGAACGGCTAGGTCGAGAGAATCTCCGGAGCGTTCCTCCTGTAAATATCTAGATATTATCCTGAGTGCAGATGTGAAAACGGCTCTTGTGACTTGGCACTTTGCATTCTGGTCTGATTCATTCTGTGAATTTTTCCTGATTCAGTATGATTTTCTGGGTAGTTTTGGCATACTGCAGATCTCACATTTCTTCATATACTGCATACTGCATTTTGGCCAAATCAGGACATATACTTGAATGTTAGGCAGGGAGAGCAAAACAAAAACACAGCCCAGTCAGAGGATGTAACAGCTACTCTTATTAATCACTGTGAACATGTATTTAATGAGTGTGGAATGTGAAGTGTCAGAAAGGTGTTATCACAACTCTGTGTATTCAGATCAGCTCTAGATACTGAGGGCAACAGGTAGACACACACACACACACACACACACACACACACACACACACGCACACACATTTCATAAGAGAGAAGAAAGACATTTACATTTAACAATTTACAGATATTAAAACATTCCCTGAGAGTTCTAAAAGGTTGTCGAGATGACACATTAATGCTGACAAGACTGGTTCCATAAAATCCATTTTTTGACTTCCCGGGTGAAAGTGCAGAAGTTTTGGAAGACTATTCCATTCTTTAATGGCTTTAAAAGAAAAAACAGATTGTGCTAAAGCGAAGCCACGTTTAGGAAATACTGCAATCTCCGTTAGAGGCAGACCTTGAAGATCTGCTTATCAGCTCAGAGCGAGGTTTCACAAAGCTTTTCAATGGCGGGGGAGCAGCATCATGGATTATTTTATACACTAAGCGGACATTGGTATAAAAAGTTAAATTGTCAAAGCTTAGAATTTTATATTTATCAAGAATATCACAATGATGATACTGTTGTGGTTAGTTAGTTTAAAGATAATTTATACAATGAAAATGTTACTTTTGATTGAAAGTTTTTTTTACTCTCATGTTGCTTACTTCTCTTTACAGATTTTAGACAACCCTCGACACCAGTTCAACTCAAGCTCAATCTACAAGAATGTGACTTTGGTGGCCTGGGACCCTGCACCTTATACTGTCAACCTACACAAGGTGTGTTTTTGTATTGTACAAGCCTGTTTCTCACACAAACATGCAACCCGTTCATATAGCCACTGAATGGATTTAAAATTGAATTGAATTCTAAAGATGGATATGTAACCAGAGTAATGCATAAAAATAATATAAATGTTCATAATATAAATCTATTCTCCCCTTCTCTCCCGCTCTTCTTCTTCTTTGTTCTATCTTTTAATTATAATTCGTGGAACGGCCCGCTGCCATAATTTTTAATACGATTGTTTAGCTGAAGCAGCCAGGATAATATCCTGAAAACCACAATTTGCAATTGGAATTGATTTGCATGCTGCACGTAAGCTTCTCTCAATTATTTTGGCAAATTTCTATGAGGCCAGATCATTTAAAAAAAAAAACGTCCTTGTCTGTTCCCATTGATTTACTTCCAACATTTCATTTTTTTTTTTTTTTTACAAGTTAATAATAGACGCACTTGTCTTTTGAAATTAGGCGACCTTTAGTTCTCTGTAAGAGCAGGGGGTGTTGTTGTCCAGCACGGTCCTCCCATATTACACAACATGACGCTGACATATTGAGCTGAAGCCATTTTTTCTCTCCCATCACCTTAATGGCTCATTTGATCCAAGAGTAAAGCACATAAAGGTTAATCAGATCAATAGCCAGTACACTAACATGCACGTTGCACACTGCACATGCTTCTTGTTCCACGACAACCTTCAGCTGAATAAAACCAATAGTGTCACACAAAGGGAACGTGAAGGATTCTTTGTAAGATATCAAATAGATTCTTACAGCGGATGTGATGAAGACACCAAATGGCTGATTTATTAGCATGTGGAAATACTGCAATGCGCCTAATTTAAACTGTATGTGGTACAGTTTCTTATATAATTGTGTTTAAATAAATACGTTATATTTCTGTCTGCAGGATATCTGCACTAGAGGAGACACAATGGCCATAATGCATCCCAGAACCCATCAGCTGTCATTAAGCTATTTAGCTGAAATTAATGAAATTAACTCGCTAAAAATAGCTAAATACAGAGTTATAAAAAGCTGCAGCTGCTAGATGTTGTTTCTGCGCGACAACTTCATTCTTGTTGAAGTTCTTATTTTGTAAATTTCCTTTAAAAAAACGTTTTTACTTAACATATTGCGTCACATCAGACTGTGGTGTGCACATTGCATTTATTCAGTTTGGATACATGTAGTCATGCTATTAAAGTCAAAGTCATTCATAATTCAGGTCTGTGATACATTTTTTTAATAAGGCTCTATAGAGAAATGCAATATTCATCAGGTTCGTCATGCTTTATGAAAAACAGCAAATGAAAGTTAATGAAGCCTCTTCTGTGTCTCATCAAGAAAATCAGAGTTTATTGAGACATTCTAATGAAAAAAGGAAGCACAGTTTTATGGCGCATTGAAAAAGTGAAAAATTACATGTTATCATTATAGATGATGTGTTTTCTTCCTTTGATCCAGCCTAACTGACCTTTGGCAGCATCAACCATTATATCATCATCTTTATAGTTTGAGCCATTGTGTTGCATTGAGGAGCACAGTCGTAAAGGTTGATAACACGGACATATAGAATCCATTCTGCAGCTTCTCAGCTTGCTGATCTAGAACATTTCACTTTGTTGCTCCAACAAAGACAGGAAACATCTCACAGTAAAAGGCCATTAACTCCCAAGGAAAGGTGTATAGAAATGAGTGCGTCTAAATTCTCGCTTTTAGTTTAGTTTCTTTTATTCATGACTGTAAATGAAGCTCTCATGAAACAAAGGATTCTTTGGACTGGAGCTGGGTTTTTTTTCAGCATCCTCCATCAAGCAGCTCTGCCTCATTCATTACACAGGTATAGTTCAGTGTTGTTCATCGCAGACAGCCCCTTCTCTATACACAGCATGTTATATATCTCTTCTAATGATTTCTGTCAGAGGCTCACAACTTCCCCGTCTACTTTGATAACCCTGACATGCTTGTTTTTTTTTTTTTTGGTGGAAACTGTCAAGTTGTTGAATCAGACAGGAGCGTTAAATATAAAAAAAAGCTCTCCTTGAGGCTGATTTTTTGAGTAATTGACAGATTCCAAAACCCTTTAATTTGACAAGAAATAGACTCTCCAGGCTATGCGTTTGAATATATCATAAGTCCAACAAAAACTTTGTATCTATGATCGCAACTCAGCATGGAGAAATCCACAAAAGGCCCTGAAGCAACAGCTAAACCTGTTACATATATTAGTGAGTTTTGATACCGTTTAAATGCTTTATATGCGTGTAAATTTACCTGAAATGAGCGTGATCTAGAAACACAGTTAAGCAGTGAGTACAGTATGTTATTCTTCTTTTCTCTAGTCCCTCAATTAAACAACTTTTATACACGAGGGGAGGAGTCAGCCGGCCGTCCGGGCGATGAAAACAAAGTGAAGATAGGACTCTGAAAACTCTGAAAACATCACAGACAGTGGGACTCGGGTGTTACACCCATTGTAGACAGTCATGACTCACAGAGTTATTTTCAGAGGATATTCTTGATTTATATTATATTTAAGTGTGAAAAATCACATAAAAAGCCTTTAATGTATATAAATATGGACACAGCGTTTCCATATTCTTCTGTCAAACATTGTTAAAGCCAAATTACTCGTTGAAGGGGTTGGTATAGTCCACTGCAGAATTCTTGCGTCAGCTTGAAGCAAACAGTCATGGTTATGTAAAGTACAATGACTGAATGTGGAGAAGTCTTACATCAGCTGTTTTGTTTTTTTTGCTTCAAATATGTTGTAAAAAACAAATTTGTTAGTTAAATGAACACTTGGACATAAATCAGTGTGATAATAACTATCACAACAGAATTCAGTTTCAGGATAGATTTACCTTGTGTGTATTTTCATTTTTAAACTTTCACCCATGTCCCACCTGTTAACACGAGACAGTCTGGACCTACTCTGCAGCCAGTCCGTCGGGGGGTAGCTCTAAATCTTTTGGCGGGTGGGGGAAGATGTTTCCTCCATTTTTTTTTTATACAATCTACTGCATGTGTTACACGGGGATCTCTTCATGGTTTGTTCTCACCACACATAGTTAAACAGAACCTCTATGTTAATTCTACTGCATATTCAATCTCTTCTCCCATAGGACAGTCGTCAGATAATGATCAATTTTAAGCATGCAGTAAAATTACATTTACACTGAAGCATACCTGACATATACATAGTGGTAATTAAATCCATGTACATTCTATGGCCCGCTCCTGCTACTGCACAATAAATAAAAAAGCTTAGCTTGGTTAGTTGTTATTTTCCCTGATAGTTTAAAAACAATAAACTAAGAGGTAGAGACAGCCAATATAGCATTATGGTATGTCAAAATAAAAACTAAAGAATTTAGTTAAAGGGATGAATTGGTGTAATAACTGGTTGTCAATGAATTGACAGCCACCTCCCCCACAGGAGAATAGGACAAAGGGTCAGTGGAGAGGGGGCAAAGGTACAGAAAGAAACATTTACCACAGAAGAAAAAAACAGGACGGGCTCTGAACTACTACCTAATACAGTCTTATGTTTGGAAATCTTTACAGTCGCATATTCACCTTTTACCAGGAAGATTTTCTGTAATTATAAAATCAAGACAGACCTTGAAAGACAAAGGTGCATTTATGACTCTGCCACCCATTCATTACATAGAACCCAACACAGCCTCTTCTCTGGTGCTTGGATGTACATTATGGTGAAGTAATCTATGGATGTTTATTTAGTTATATAAAAATTTCTTTGTTCTTGCTCTTTTTTTATACCCGCATTGTATGTCACAGACGATTTATCTCTTAGGGTAACAATAAGAAACCTCCATGAATAATGTAAATCAGACACCTACTGTGGAAAAACACATAAACTGAGTCAGACTGTGCAGATTGCTGGAACAGCCGTGTAACCAAACAGCATGACGCAGAACAAAGAAAACAAAAAAACAGAGAAACAGAAGGCTTGAAAAGCTTGTCTTTTACAGGTGATGTAACAATAAAAGACAAGTATGTGTTCATATGGAGTTGCCACAAGAGAGGCCTGTATTCGCTTTTGTCAGGACCATGAATTTTGCAATAAGAAATAGTCTCCTGTTCAGCTGTAGCACACTGGAGAAGTCAGATACCATTTTGAGATTATGCACAAGGAAGGAAATGTGTTTTTTTTAGCTCTGATGAAAGCAGGTCTGAGTTCAGTTCATCAGAAAGATGAGAGAAGAATAGAACAGAATAGAACAGAACAGAACAGAATAGAACAGAACAGAATAGAATAGAACAGAACAGAACAGAATAGAATAGAATAGAACAGAACAGAACAGAACAGAACAGAATAGAACAGAACAGAACAGAACAGAACAGAACAGAACAGAACAGAATAGAATAGAATAGAATAGAATAGAATTACTTTATTGATCCCAAACTGTGAAATTGTGGCCTTACAGCAGCAGGTTGTCCAAACACACAATATGAGCAAAAAACACAATATTAGCAAATTTAAACACAATATAATATTAAATACAAAGTAAATAAGCACTAAAAATATCAAAACTAAGAATGAGAATATGTACAACCGGGATTTAACTTAGCATTACTAAGCAGAAGGATGAGAGTGAAAGCTGCTGAAGGGGGCCTTCTTGCTGCCTTCTCAATATATTTTTTTTCAAAAGAATTTTTTCTTTTAAAGATTTCTTTTAAAAGGGCTTTTTGCCTTTTATTTGATAGGGCAGGAATGGAGTGACAGGAAAGGTGGGGGATGACCTGCATCCTCCATAGGGCGCTTGCTCAACAAACTGAGCCAAACCAGCGCCTCACCTTTTCATTTCTCTTCTTTTTTTTAACATTCATTCTGTGCCAACTGGCCGGTGACGTGCTTTCATATGTTCACTTTTTTGATCCTCTCAGCATATATTATATTGGCTTTGACTATGAGCTCATAATTATTCACTTTCATGTATTTATTTGGCCTTCTTCCCTATGATTACTGTTTCCACATTGCACCTAGAAACCACCATTAAACCTAGAAATAAACTCTTATTTAAATAAGAGAAAAAATCAGACATGGTCTTTCCAAAAAAAAATCATAACTTATAGTTAAACTCTTATTTATTCTACGTCATTTGAAAAGCTCATAATCGATGACTATACAAATGTCTCCCCCACGTCACTGGAAGAAATGATTTTATTGTTTGTGCATGAGGTGTTTCTGCTCACACTTGAGCTTCATGTTGAGTAAAGTTTGGCTTTCAAATTGGTTGAAATGTAGAAATGTAAGGACACAGAAATAGTTAAATGAGACAACATTCTTCTGGTAATTAATTCTGCTTGCATATGATTCAGTATAATGAAGGCCACACATTCAAGTTGGGTAACAAGAAGCACAAAGAAATGTATATACAGAAAACCTGGTGCTTCCAGGCTTGACCAATAATTGTATCAAAGTCAAGGTCAAGGTTTCTTTATTCGTCTCCCTAGGGAGAAATTTGTCTCGGATTCTGGGAAATTGCTGCATGGACAATACATCAAAACAATATAAAAACAGTAATTACAAATGTGCAAAAACATTAGCTTATCCCATTAGCTACAGTTTACCCAAGCGTCTGCTTAAGTATCCGTACACATACACACACATACACACACATACACACACACACACACACACACACACTCACACACTCACTCTTACAATCACATGCACATGTACACACTCCAAATGCTTTCATACATATATACATGGCTACAGTTAACGGTACATTGGGGGCCTCCTGTTTTATCGTTCATCCTCTATTATTTAACTGAGAAAGGAACTAATGAGTTTTTGAAGCGGTTGTGTTTACACAGAGGAAAGCCTGTACCTTCTCCCCGAGTTCAACAAAACATATTCCAAGTGCGATACATGGGAAATGTCCGATAAAATGCTGTTGGCCTGTGTGATGGTAGCCTGCTCAAAAAGATCCTTGGGGGGCAAGAGGGGCACACATTCCCATGACCTCGCCTGCTGTCTTAACCAGGCTGAGGATCTGTAAAAAACAAAATGAACATAATATTTTTTTACATACACCAAACACTCACACTGATGGATATTTGGCAGTTTGAAAGATCGACTTGAATTTCAAAATGAAAACAGAATCCGTTGATTCTCAACTCTCTGCGGTCTCACCTCTCTCTTCTTCAGTGGTATGCCAGTCCGGACTACAATTTGTTCGGCCCGTACGTGGAGCACCGCAAGCTCCACCCCGACCAGCCCTTCTACATCCTCCACCCCAAATATGTGTGGAGACTTTGGGATGTGATACAGGGCAACACTCAGGAGAACATCCAGCCCAATCCTCCCTCGTCTGGCTTCATAGGTGAGCACACACACACACACACACACACACACACACACACATACACACACACACACACACACACAACACACACACACACACACACACACAGACTTACATGCATACATACATACAGTCAGTATGCATGCAGAGTGCGTCTGTTCTTTAACTTCCCATTTGTACTCTTATCTCGCCGTTTCCTTCCTGCTCCTGGAGGAGATGTAGGCACACAGACATACACATATGCACCATGCGTTGGAATACATAATGCATTTTTTTAATCTGTACCATGCATAGTGCCACAATCAGCATGCAACAGGGCTGTACAGTGCAATCCGGAGCGGTACATCTGTGCAGGGGTGGGGCAGCAGAAATGTGACCACTGTAAGCTCATCTGAGAAACTCTCCTGCTTGTCAATATCCACTTCATCTTTGTTTGCAGCACTTTATAATTTTCAGACGTTTCATTTTGCTTTTTTTTTTTTTCCTGCACACGGACAAATAACATAAAACATCCAATTATGGTCCTTAGAATGTGTTTATCTCAGAGCGACAGGAAATGACTCTCACTGTTGATCGGCTTGTATCTAGATGTATTGAATGTGCTTATGAAGAATCATTTTTAAGTGTCACTGTGACATTTGGTGCTGAAATATACAGATTCTGTTTTCTAAAGTTTAATAATAAACCAACATGTGCCTGTGTGTTTGTAGTCTCTGAGTGTACCCCCCTCTAATGCTCTTCAATCAAAAAACAAATACATTATGAGGTTATTGTGAACATGATGGTAATGTGAAAATTAAGCACATATGTTACAAAGACAGTGCATAATGCTTTGCAAAATTATATCCATTAGAAATGAAAACCTACTATTGCTAAAGGCTTAAAGTGGAAGTCTGTGATCGGGGGGAAAAGACCTTTAAAGGACCTGTATCATAAAAAAGAATTGTAAGTGACAATTTCCAAAAGGCTTAGGGAAACTACTATAATAATCTTTAGTTGTACAAAATTGGAGAAAATTGTTAAAATTGTACAGCTTGAAAGGTTAATAAACATTGAAAAAACGTTTTAGGGCCGTCAGCATTAACTGGTAAATGATTTAACTAAGGTATGAAATGAATGCATACATTTTTGTTGCTGCTATTGTTGCTATGCTATTTTGTCCTTTTACGGTGTCTCCCTGTTGTCATAGTGAAGGAAAAGAACAACAATGCTGCATCTTTGAATGTCTCATTTCACTTTACAAAGAACTCTCAGACAGCTGCAGCTGACGAGTCAAAAGTCATATCCACCTTATGACATCAAACATTTCACTTTTTTTTTTTTTACCGTTCCTTTGTGCTGTTTTACTTCCTTCCTTTTTCCGATGTTAGCTTAATGTCGTGACCTTCAAATTTACTGGAAGGTCTTTTAGTTTTTTTCATCAAAATAAAAGCAGGTTTGAATTCAAACGGCAAGTGAATTACTCTCGTTTTCAAATAATACAAAAATTCAAAATAAAAGCCTAAGAATTTATATTTTTAAATGCGAAATAAGGGAATTTCAAACATGCGATTACACGATTACATTTTTTTATTGTTTGACAGCCCTTATATATTTCATAACATATAAGCTATTGGGGAAAAGAGTGAACATTAGTTTCCCAGCCTGTACCTACCATAACCCTTTAGATACATTTCCACGATACAAGCTCCTCACAATAATGTTAGATTAGCATTGTTGGATGCTAAAGTCAGCTGTTGTGTACCACTATAACATGGTCTTTCTGCTCGGTCCAGAAGCAGCGAATTGAAAACACTAATACAAGCATTCAGCCACTTCCTAGCCAAACGTTGCCATTGGATAGAATAGAAACATAGAACTGCATTACATATATGTTTGAAATGGTTGGATGCTAATGTTAGCTGAAGTGTAACTATACTTTAGCTGTCATCTTCCCATCTCCTCGTTAGCATATCAGTATGATAGAATTGCATGATACCGAATACTAGTTAAGAGAAACATTTGCTTTGAATTGGTTGGCCAAAGCCCAAGCTATGTCAATAGAATTCTAAATTGGGCATCTGAACAGAATGAAAAGAGCAGAATAGTACAGTTTGATCGATTGCTCACGATTTGATCTTTTGGAGCTGAACTAGTCTTTAATTATTGCCAACTTGCATCGGCTGTATCACAACCCAGGAAGCAGAAGTTTTGGTTTGCATTATAACCATTAAAGGCTTTATATGCGATTTTTTGATCCAGCAGATGTCGCCCTTGAGCACCAGCATGAAACCAAAACAACTTGCAGTGCATTGTTGTGTTAGCATGCTAATGCTAGCGATCTTTATTATGCTGGTATCTTCACACTGCATGTAAATTTACCTGAAATGAGCGTGATCTAGAAACACAGTTAAGCAGTGAGTACAGTATGTTATTCTTCTTTTCTCTAGTCCCTCAATTAAACAACTTTTATACGTGAGGGGAGGAGTCAGCCGGCCGTCCGGGCGATGTAAACAAAGTGAAGATAGGACTCTGAAAACTCTGAAAACATCACAGACAGTGGGACTCGGGTGTTACACCCATTGTAGACAGTCATGACTCACAGAGTTATTTTCAGAGGATATACTTGATTTCTACATTTAAGTGTGAATAATCACATATAAAGCCTTTAATACCCTTTTTAAATTAAAATATATTCAGTTTTTTCGGCATAAATCAGTCACTGTCTTGAGATAAGTCAAATTCAGACTGAAAGCTTAACAAACAATGTGGCTTGCATGTCTGCGTGTTCCTTGCATGAGTTTTTTCTGTCCTCTCTTGTCATGTTTTGTTGGACCACACAGACTGTAAATTCCACTGCCGGCTGATTAATTCTGCTACATGCTGATTAGATTGATTTTTACCCGGCTGTTTCAAATGACCACCCGACTATAAAGGTCAAACAATCCCCCTCTCTCTTGTTAAAGACATGTCTTTTCAGAAACTGTGAATTGAATTGATAATAATAATTAAATTCCATACTGCCAATCACTGAGACGTAGGAGTGAAAAGCATTAGCACACAAAGACAATGTATTGTAAAAAGTGAAGGTGCACAATTTAAACAAAGGAAGTGCATGTAAGTTGTGTAAAAGAACTCAAATCAAAATCCTGAGTGGAAAAAGTAAAAAAAATAAATAAAAAAAAGGGTCCCATTCATGAAAGGACAAAGGAAAGTGCTGCAATTGAATTATTTTCATATCATTGAAATTTATCTGTAGCTTTTGTATAAATTGACTTAAATAAGTGTGCTTAACCTCGAAACAAGAGCTCTTCTTTTGTTTCTCTGGAAATAAGTAAGTGCAAGGTCCTTAGTCACCATGGGTTTAACAAAAGATGCTGTGTAATTGTTTATCTTCTCAAAGATACAGAGTCATTATGGTGACAAAGGAGAGAAAATGCTCAGTTTTCAGTGTAGCTTTAATGACAGGGTTTTCTTCTTTCTGAAGAAGGGTTCCCCATCACTACCACAAACATATAATCTGGATCATTTTAACTCAAGATTGGCTGCATTTTGTTTCTGTCTTGAGAGGTATTGGTCGTGTGCTGTTTTTAGTTATAAAATCCATTGCTTGTCACTCCTGTGTAAGTAAATTAAAACCATTTTCAGTGTAAACTATTTCACACTGAGGAGCAGTATCGCAGATTTACACTTTATTATGTTAAGGTTTTAAAGCATCTCATAGCTAATAGATAATACATAGATAAATTATAATAGTCAGGAATTATTGAGCCAAAGTGTAAATATCAAATGATCTCCCAAGAATGTGTGAATCATAAAAAAGGGTCTTTAAAGGCTTTATATTTGATTTTTTTGATCCAGCAGATGTCGCCCTTGAGCACCAGCATGAAACCAAAACAACTTGCGCTGCATTGTTGTGTTAGCATGCTAATGCTAGCGATCTTTATTATGTTCGTATCTTCACACTGCATGTAAATTTAAAAACTCTGAAAACATCAATTAAACCCTCAATTAAACAACTTTTATACTCGAGGGGAGGAGTCAGCTGGCCGTCCGGGCGATGTAAACAAACTGAAGATAGGACTCTGAAAACTCTGAAAGCATCACAGACAGTGGGACTCGGGTGTTACACCCATTGTAGACAGTCATGACTCACAGAGTTATTTTCAGAGGATATACTTGATTTCTATTATATTTAAGTGTGAAAAATCACATATAAAGACTTTAAGAGAGTACAATAATGTGGCATCTAAACCACCATCAAATCCTCCTTGTTATAAAATCATCTTTTCTCTGAGTCCTGTTGTTCATTTTGTTTTCATATCATTGCCATAAGAACTTGTAGCACATTTTAAAACACACCAGCGAAACATCATATTTCCACAGCAATGACATTTATTAAAACAGAGTAAACCAACAGTATTACACGATGAAATGACGACTTGTTGCTTAAGAGTCAGCTCAGGGGTTTTTTAGCATCCATTAACTGCTGGAGCAGACTCCACTCAGCTTCCAGATGAGCTTAAAGTCAGATTGTCTTAACAGTCACTTGACTTAGCCTCATCACCACCCTGCAGTGAGAGTGTCAGCCAGCGCTGTTTTAACAGCAAGACATCTCGACTTAAGGGAGCCCAGTCCGAGTAAATCACTTGATTGCTTTACAATTCGTTTGTGAATGTTGCATCCTCTCCTTATTCCTGGTCTTGAAAAGCTGTGGAACAGGTGGAGAGGCACTCTGAAACCACAGGTGGCCTTGTTCGTGACAAAGTCATGCAGATGTGTTCAGAAAGCTTTTTTTATATCCCCTTACAATTTTTTATGCCGTCTCTCCAGCCATTACAGAATGTCTTTGTGACTCATCCATTTTCTTTTGTGCATCTCATAGTCAAACATCACAGATTTCATTCCCTCCAGGTGTTGGGGAAACTACAAGTTGAAATATGAGCCATTTGGCATCTTTTACCTTTTCTCATAACCCATTGTAGCCAAACTGCTCCATGCGTCCCACAGTCCGAAAACATGACTCTTGCATCAAATCGAGGTGTTATTAGTTGATTGAGTCGTGCAACAAAATCATGCAATATCACAGACCAAAAGTATAGAGTTTGTAAGTATATACAAGTTGAAAGTTGTGAGACATTTATAGACAGAGAGGCGCAGATGTTGGAGGGAAAAAAGACAAAGTTTGAATCATGAGCACATCAAACCACTTACACACTGATTGAAGAAGCACAGATGATTATCCAGTGTAGGCATTTACAGCAGCACAATGACACAGTGAGTGAACAGCTACAGAAAGTAGGCACTGGGTTTTTTCCGTGTTGTAGAAAATATGGTTGAAAAGACCGAAACAGGACGTAGATTTCCAGACCAAATTCTGCCAACAAAATATATATATATATATATATATATATATATATATGTTGGAAGGTTATTGAAGTATTACAATTTTGGAAAAACTGAAGGAGTTTTGGCGAATTAGGAAATTCATAAAACTTCTTTGTAAATATAATTTCTCAAACATTAAAAACCTTGATTGTAATTCTAACGAGATAAATTGTGCTTTGTTGGTGATGACACTGACGGGTGTGTTCACAAAAATTATACAAACTTATCATTACTCTGCTATAAAAAATCATAATAAAAGGAAAGTATGAGTAAATTGAGTGACATTATATGACCAAAAGTAGATTTCTCCATTCTGTACTTTAAAAACAGGGCCTCCTCATAAAACAAAATAAGAGAAATAGATTCCAGACACAAACAGGCAAAAGTTTTGTGTAGCTTCTTTTAACATTGTAGTACATTTTTTGCACAAAGTAAGACCCACAAATACATGGTTTTCAAGTTTCAAACTGTTTTCCACTTAAGCACTGGACTGGTCTGGACAGAAGCTTAGAATAAACCCTTCAAACACCTTTTTGGGATAAAGTGGAAGCCAGTTGAAAGAGAGGCCTTATCGCCAAATATCAGGGCTCGGCTTCACATTGTGGCTTAATGGGAGCTAAATCTCTAAAGCCCAAATCTCCAAAACCATGTGGAAAGATTCCCTTGGATTTGGAGATTTGGAGGCTGTTATCAACATTAAAATGTTCAGAGTCAAGGACAGACTCTTATATTCAGTTTTACTCACACCTTTGGCCATATAGTGTTTAAAAAAATAATTTTAGTACATCTGTGTCTTGTACTTTTCGAACCAAAAATGGATAAATAGACACTGAAAAAAAACATTCTGTACAAACACAAGCTTACACACATACTGTACATTTACTGTAAGCACACGTTGTAATTTAGTCCACTTTCTCCAGTAGTTCACATTGCAAAGTGTAGGAGTCAAACTGACTGTTTTTTCCTGCCTGGTCATGTTGGAGTTTAACCCCCGGCTCAGTTCTGGACCTCAGGGGGGTTTGTGTGCTTGGTGTTGGGGGTGCTGCTGAACTGGTTGAGAGCGTCTGTGGAGATCTGGGCGGTGCACGCCACCGTGTTGCTGTACACCCTGCGGTTCAGTTGAATCACGGTGGTCTTGGAGGGCATGGAGATGTTGCCGTTCTCTGCTGACCAGTGATCACAGTGAAACAGTATCAGGAAGCACCTGTAGAACTGAAAAAAGCGACAGTGGGAATTTGAGACACAGGCGGCAAACTGAGACCTCCTGGATTCATCAAAGGGACTGACCATTAACTGTATAAAAAAGCACAACAAGACAGCACCCTAAAAGTGAAGCCAAAACACTTGGAACTCACAAAAATATCGCATATAAAGCCTTTAATTGTTGTGGACTGTTGATCTTTTGTGACTGTTTTTCTGTTTTCAGATTGCCATTTATTTTTTGGGACCTTAAGTGACCCCTTAAGTTAAATTCATAAATTGAGATTTTACTTAGAATTGCCTCATTAACGTAAGCTAACTCTTTGGTTTGGGCCTTGATTGACGGCTCCTGCCACATTCTGTACCCGATTTGCAGAGTAGAGAAGGAACGTTTAGAGGAAATGTAACCACAACAAACACAAGAGTCATTTAGCGTCTGCTTCATGGATGTTTTTGTCACTTTTGTACAACAGGAGGAGGTGTAGACGTTTCCTCCATTTTATATAGACCATGAGAGTGACCGTGGTTTGCCGCTCGGCGCTCTCACAGACATGTCTTTGAGTTTGATTAGGTTGAAATCATGCCTTAAATGTTGGCCTTGTACAACAGGAAGTGCCACTTGAGCAGAGGAAAGCATCCCCTAATGGAAGGAGAGAGCCACTAACACTTGGGTTTGACCTTTGAAATCACTAAAACAAACAGTTGAAAAGCTCTGAGAGCTGTTCCAACACATAAAGGTTATGGTCTCTCTATGCTTCCTGAACGTTCAGAGGAATGAGTCATAATACAAATACTTTTTCTGTATCATCTTTATTCTTGTCCTTCAGTATTCAATTCGACAAGCGAATGAAAGAGGCCTACGCCAACACTGACGGACCATTGTGTGGATTCTGATGGCTCGCTGGAAAGAAAGTAGTCTCAGTGAATAAGTAAATAAAATGGTCAGATTATTCAAAAGGGGAAGTTAAATACATGGCTACAAAGAGTATTATTTTCCTGTAAAAACACATGTATTGTTTTTTATACAAGGTCTGTGTTGTGAAGGCTGATAAAACGACTGTAAACTGGTGTAATGAACCTTTCGTTTACAATATTGAGATTTTATTAATGATTGTTGATAATTCTGATAAGTGGACTGCACTTTTTTTTTGGCTTTTTTTCAGTCTTCAGACTTTTAAACTAAATAATCTCCATGCCATTTATCCTATTCACAAACACCCCTACACACTCTGTTCACACACTTGGCAGTAGAGGTGCATCAGGCTGTTTATCCAAACTCATTCAAACACATAATCACACGATGATAGCGCAGCCATCGGGAGCCATTTGACGCTAATTATCTCTGATCTTCAACAAAATGATTATCACTCTAGAGAGTAAAAAGGTAGATGGGAAACTCCTGGATGTTGACAGTAAACTTGGCCGACACACACTGTGAAGAACGGTGCTTTAGCAAAGTAAGCTAACTAATGAATCAATCATCAAAAAAGAAATCACAAAGGAATCCACACATTCTCACACATTTTGTTGGAAGGATTTGACTCCCTTGTTTGTTTGGATCGTTATTATACTAGAGAGCAGCAGCAGCCTCTTGCTGTCCTCAGCAGCAAGAGGACAGAATGTGAGCAGAATTGTAATCATCAGAGAGACAATGAAAAACAGAAACCATGCAATGCCAGGTGGAATGAAAAACAACAAAAAGGCAACAACATGTATACGAGCTAACTGCTCTATGTGTCAGCACGTCGCCTCTATTGTATGAAAGGAACCACGCAGAGCATGCTGAGGCAGGCAGACTCACTGTCTTCATGTATTATGTATTCAGAACTATTTTTATCCTTATCACACACTGTGGGGTTTTTGCTGAGGGTGCACGCTCTTCTTCAGCACTGAACTTTACATTTACACTTCACACAAAAAAAATCACATTTGCACTCAAGTCCTTGACTTTTGACTCGTTGCAGATCCATTAGAGATTTTCTGATTCATGCTTTTATTAAGGTGCTTGTGAAGCAGCTACTGGGGGAGATTATTACGTCCTTACTTTATGTAATCAGATTTGCATGCATAGTAATACTTCAGTTTACATATGAGTTGGTAATGTATGTACATGTACAATCATTTGAACTCTGGACGACCATGCTGTTTTGTTAAAAAAAGAAAAATGTTATCAAGTAATTTGAAGCCCGACTAACTACATTTTAACCTCTAAAGTGATGAGCTATAATGACGCACTAATGCTACAGGCTTCAGAATTCGACCTTCTTTTTTTTTACCTTAAACTATGTTGGAGTTTCAGCCGCTCTTTAAATAAAATGTATTATTATTATTATGCTTCTGACAGAATCTGAGCTCAGAAAATTTTTGTACTTAAAAATATGTCTTTCTCTCGCTCTCTCTCTCTGTTGCCATGCAGGCATCCTCCTGATGATGGCACTTTGCGAGGAGGTGCATGTGTACGAGTACATCCCTTCCATGAGGCAGACGGACCTGTGCCACTACCACGAGCGTTATTACGACGCCGCCTGCACACTGGGCGCCTACCACCCGCTGCTGTACGAGAAGAGCCTGATCCAGCGGATCAACACGGGCCCCGAGAGGGACCTGAGGAGGAAGGGACGGGTCACCCTCCCCGGCTTGAGCACCGTCAACTGTGACATCTGAGATATGAAAAGTGACCCCGGACAATACAAACACACAACGGCCTTTTTTTTTTCTGGCTGACTGAAGGGAAGAGGTGCAATAAAGCCACAGGAGACATGTAAGCTGAGGCTCACAAGTTTTGAAATGAGACCCATGAAGAACATAAGCCATATCCCTCCAGGGGTGGGGGGATCAACATGGGAGAACTTGTCTTCATTAAGATGGAATACCTGACCCACAGACAGGGCAGGAAAAAAAAGCCTCTGAGACGGGGCTGAAAAGACGTTTCTCTCTCTCTCTGCTTTTGCTGAGCCACGTTAGCTGTGGAGCTGACTAGGGTAGCAACAGATCCGTGTTTTTTAGATAGGCAAGTGAATTTTCAATAACTGGATGTGATTCAATGGTGTGCTCTGTATTTTTCAATAGAAAGGGTGGTTCTCCACTTAAAGGAAAAACCACAGATTCTAATGGTGGATATTTGTGATTTTATTTTGTTCCTTCTTTTTTTTACTGGTCTAAAAAGGGTTGTGAATAAACAGAGATGTCATCTGTGTTGAATGTCCGAAATTGAAACGTGCTCACTAACGCACACAGCATGAATAACACATGCAGAAGAAGGCACACATGAGAGAAGTCATATTACTGTTCATGTCATTGCTTTGCATAGAGCGCTCCTCCCTGTTTGACATTCCTCTGATATCTGTCAGAAGTTTATTTTCTTGTTGTCATGAGGGGGTTATTCAAACAATTGATGTTTTTCAGGCCTCACACCAAATGTACTCTCCTGTGCATGCCAACCTGCCAGCTAACCTCCGCTACCATTTGGTGTCAAGCGGTCTGTCAATAAGAACTAATCCCTTGGGAAGGTTCCCTCAGGAGATTCAGAAAATGTGTCAGAAAATGAAAAAAAAACAGACAGAAAAGAAAAGAAGGGGAGAAGGAAAAGCTAAGGGTTTTTTTTGTATTCGCCCCACGTACAGAAAAAGGAGCCTTCCTATACGCTCACAGCTTATCAATCAGAAAGAAAACGGGGCCAAAGCGGGATCTTCGGTGCTTAGAACGGCCGCGACCCTGTGCCTAGTGGTCAACTGAACACTTTTCCTCGGGTTGCCTTGTTGCCTGTTCGGATAAATGCAGTAGCAAACTGTGGGAAGTAATGAGGAGTTCAAACTAGCTGTGGGAGCTGTGTAGTAGTAGCAGTTGATATTCGCTGTATCAGGAGATTCTCAGCTCTGCATCAGCAACCAGCACCCCCCCCCCCCCCCCTGTTTTTGACGGTCAGTTCGCTCTTTATTGAATGTAATTTTAACCGCTGCGTGCGATGGCCAAACCCCTCCCTCCCCCTCCCCCCCTCCGGATCTCCGCACTGCAGTGGTGTCTGCATATGTGCGGGGGTCATTCTTTGGTCATGTAACATGCATTAAGCTCATTTCCTACACTATATTTATGTCTCATATTTCCTAGATCCTCTAATAGCGGCATGCACCGTGTCTGCAGCTCGGAGTGGAGACAATAACAAAAGAGGAATTCAAACTGGTAATATCATCAAAATTGCTTTGTCTGCAGCGAGGATAATTTTCATGTTTACAGCTAGAGAAAGATCTTCAGCAAGCTGTGAAGGGTTATTAGCTCAGCGTGGAGAGGAGAGGAGAGGAGAGGAGGGCTGGTTGTGATTTTCTGCTGCAGATGTTCGGTCTTCAGAAAAAAAATCTTGCCTATGAACGAAGATTTTCATTATTTTTTTTACTGCTAAGTGTGCTATTCTACAAAAAATGTTCTCGTGCCATTTGGTTGTGGTTTCGGTGTAAAGATGTGAAAAGTTGTCAGAGAAATGTTTCTTTGAATAGTCAGTCATGTTGAATTAGATGACCTTGTAGTAGTTTCTGGCGTAGGAGTTGACTTGATGTTGAGAAGGGCTGGGTATCATCGTACACATTTGTACAAATATGTGTGTCCTGTTTTCTATGAAACAACCAGAAAAATGTTGAATTCAGTTGGTACTCGTTATAGGGAAGAGGAAAGCTAGGACCGAGTATTTGGTTCAAATTTAGAGATGGTTGGGCTATAAATAAAATCAACTTCACATTTTTTACAATTTTACCCTGATATTTTGTATGTTGCGATATAGTGATTAAAAGAAATCTGTTAGGGAACTCATGTGAGATTATCAGGCAGTATTTAGTCAAACTAAGTCTATCTTAACATCCTATAATAAATGGACAAAACTCAGCTCTGTTGAAAAATGTCAACAAGAAAATGACAGAAGATTATAATATTTCTGAAGATTGGATTTAGTAGTGTTGCATAGGATTTCATTGCTTTTAATGAGGTAGACCTATACTGTAATTAAGCATCTACTGAGTTTATGTATTGATGAGCATAACCTGATGGATTCATCGTGTTACATACATGACAATAGTATTTCATCACATTGATGCAAAGTCCTGTAGATTTAATTTTGCCATAAAGCAATTCTCATTGATTTGCATTTGTCAAAATTGGATAGAAGTATCTCTAACAGTAGACCCCCCCCTTGATCTGAGATTATTTATATGTATGGTGGTAATATGACGGATTCTAATGCAACAAATGTGTTCTGCTCGGATTGCGAAAACTAGTTTGGTTTTGATGCCCAGCCCCGGTTTCAGTGGAACTATTTTTGCATGTTATTAAGAAGTCTTGCGACAAGGGAACCCTGTGAAGTCAGCTGAAGTTAGAGGACTGCACCAGAGGATTAGTTTAGAGTCTGAAGAAGTTTTTTGAAAGCTTGAGGAGATTATCTTTTATTTGGGATAACACAGGTTCTCAGCTCTGCTGTAGGTTTTCTCTGTTGAAATAAACTAATCATATATTCAATTGCTTGATTGTAACACACTGAAGGTGCAAACCCCCCTTGGACATTATTATTCATGTATATTTCTAATAACTTTTGATTACTTTCCCAATGCACAGAGCATGTAAATCAGGATCAGGGCTAATAGTCTTCAACTGTGTGTGCTGTACTGTGCTGCAGGAGGACACCATTGTCATTAACGTTTTGAGAGGAGATCCTGATTTAAGGTTTTTTTTCTTTTACTCGGGTAGTGTTTTGCATAACTGTAGAGTGTGCTTGTGGGCAGTGAAATCCCATCAAGATGGGTCTGCAGCTAACAGTAGTTTCCTGGGAGCACTTGAGAACGTACAATATCTTCTGAATTTTTCATTTTTTACGTCTTAATATTGTGCCAAATTCCAATCACTCGTTTCGTCTTAGAAGTGTTAAACAAGGAGAGGAAGGGAGACTTCAGAGTAATAGCAGGACTTCTAAGGTGCTATTGCTTTTTTGGGGGATTTTCTTAAAATGGAACTTGATGTCTTACTCTTTTTTATCTCCTCGAGAACGATTGCATCGGCGTCAGTAAATAAAGGACGTACTTCCCTGACACATGACGTCGACTTTTTTTTTTGTTTTCCCCGGGAGATGAGGACATATTTAAAGACACTCTCCATTCTTTACTTTCAAGGCCTTTTTTTTCATGTCTTTTGTTTACTCAGTATCGTGGGAATTGCTGCACCACACTGCCTCCTGAGGATTGTTACACATTAAAGAGACTCCTGCAGTGTCTTACTGTACTCCTGAAAAGAAGGGAAGAACAGAACAGAAGCGTCTGCGCCTGGAGAGAGAATACGAGTGAAGGTCCTGTTTCACTCCCAGCAGCCTTAGGGTGTCCTTCTCGACTTTTGATTTGTTGATTTGTGAATTCTCTTTCTTCTTACACTTGAATCGATATTTAAAATAGACCATTTGTATGATTTCAGCTGTTGTGATTTGGACTTTTTTTACCATGTAAAATAAAGTTGTTGTCTACGTCGAGCGTCCGACTCACCTGTTTGTTCATGAGGATGTAGATGAGCGGGTTGATGACGGTGCTGCTCTTGGCCAGCAGGGAAGGCACCACACTGGCCACGGGGCTGATGATGCTCGGCGGGCCGAACGTTGCCATCATTGCCACGACGCCGTAAGGCATCCAGCACAGCAGGTAGCACGCGGCTGTGGTCAGAACCATGAACAGGATGTGGTACTCTCTCTTCCGGGCGGCCGTCTTTCTGATCTTACCAACCTGTGAGGGGAGACCGAGAAGGGGCAAAAACATAAAGCTGAGAATCTTTTCATGACTAACATACTGGAGTTCTTCAAGTGCTCCTCCCTTTTTCTAAAGAATTAATTATGACGACTTTCATTCCTTTCCATCATTTAGAGGCTGAAACATTCTCCAGTATTTCAAGTAGTTTTAAACCTTGCACACTTAAAGAGAAGTGCCGTCCTTTACAAAGATCTCAATGTAAGCAATGCTGCATGTATAGATATATACAGCTGCACTGATAACACTCCAATGCTACTTCTTTTGATGTACGTCAGTAACATTTGAAAAGATGGAATGAATCTGATTCGTTTTGAAGGGAAGACATTAATACAGTTTTTCATTTCTCTGCCATGCAACAGTAAAAAAGTCACTTAGGCTTAAACTTATAGCTACATTACATTACATGAACCCTTAGTTTAATTGGACTTAAACACAGAAAAGGTTCAGTTTATTAAACATGTCACTGGTATATTTGTCATACACTGCTAGCTTTTGATTAATCTCCCTTTTTTTATTTATTTTTAACCTTTATTTAACCAGATAACGAACCCATTGAGATCAGGATCTTTTTAACAAGGGTGACCTGGCCAAGAGGTCAGCAGCACGTCATAAGAACAGTTACAATGAAGTGACAGTACAGATTAACAACATAGTGTTTTCAATAAAAAAAGAAAGTGTGGGAGCTGTGACACAACAATTTTAAAGATTTTAAAAACACAGTCAATCAATGGTCTCACGCTGTCTGTCCCTCAAGATAGAACGGAAAGCTCCAAGTGGAATAAGTTCAGGGAGTTTTAGTTCAGTCTGTAGAGTATTCTATGCCGAGGGGGCAGCAAAGCTGAAAGCTCTTTTTCCTAATTCAGTCCTTACCCGAGGAATAGATAGAACAAGTGTGGTACAAGAACGCAAGGCATAGCGACTGCTTGTTCTCTGCAATAAAGCACACAAATATAAAGGAATCAAGCCTAAAAGAGCCTTATCAATTAGGGTCAGCCAATGTGCGTATCTGCGTGCACTCAAGGAAGGCAAGTTCGATTTCAAATACAATTCACAATGGTGGGTGAGACGACTACAGCCAGTGACAAATCTCAGTGCCCAATGAAAAGTCGTGTCCAAGGACTTGAGACATTTGGATGACGCACTCAAATAAAGCATGTCCCCATAATCAAGAATGGGCAAGAAGTTCGCTGTTACTAATTTCTTTCTGACCCTGAGAGAGAAGCAGGTTCTATTTCTTAAAAAGAACCCAAGCTTCATACGAAGTTTAGTTACCAGATTATTGATATGAGCTTTAAATGAAAGCTCCTGATCTAGGATAAAACCCAAGTACTTGTAGTTTAAAACTTTCTCTATAGGTTTTCCTTTAGATGTTAGAATATTTGTAATGTTCTGGGGTAGCACCTTTGTATGAGGGAAAACCATGAGCTTCATTTTATCTGTGTTTAAAACCAACTTAAGATCATATAAACGAGACTGGATAACATTAAAAGCAGCTTGTAAAAACTCAAAAGCCTGGATGAGTGAGGTTGAACAGCAATAAATAATGGTGTCGTCTGCATAAAAATGAAACATTGCATTTGACAAGTTATTACGGAGATTGTTTATATATATTGAAAATAAAATGTGTCCCAGCATTGAACCTTGGGGCACCCCTTTAGTAATGTCCAGGAAGAAGAGGTAGTTCCAGCCACCTGAACACATTGTGCTCTGTTGGATAGATAGTTGGCAAACCAGGCAGCTGCATGTTTAGACAAGCCAGTGTGATGTAAGGCTTGTATCAGCAGGTTGTGGTCTACTGTGTCAAATGCTTTTGACAGATCAATAAAAAGAGCGACACAATATATTTTGCTGTCCAGAGCTTCAATTAAACCGTTTAGGACCTTCAGCCCAGCTGTAACAGTGCTTTGCTGTTTTCTAAAGCCAGATTGGAGAGGAGATAAAATATTATTTGACTCTAAAAATTCCTTTAGTCGGTCACTGATGATCCCCCCTCCCTTCAATCAAGATGGCTGGAATAACCTGTTAAAGCCCCCTGGAAGAACTAGTTGCCATGTCTTAAAAGTGCAGAGGTCTAAATCAAGTGCAGGACACACAAAAGCCCAAAAGAGAAACAACGAGTCATCGGGTGTGAAAGGCAAGACAACTCAGATACATGTTTCTGTGTTTCACATATGGGTTTATACATTTTTGATGGTGGAGGATTCCTCCTTTTAGAAACATCAGCAATAACAACTAAAGGCAGGAAATTAGGGAACCATGAAAATGGATACTGTACTTTAGCTGTGCATATTCCATACCACTTAGAAAATACATCGTTTCTGATTTCCTGCACACAAAATAACAAACAAAATGAGACCAACCAGGATGGTAATCAAGCAAACTACAAGCCAAGGTCTGCAACAAAACAGCAAATATGAAAAAGCAACATAGATTATCCAACTTCAAAACCAAATATTGACAAAATCCTTCATCTGAGACATTACAATGGACCTCGAGTCTTCCTAATAAAGCAATAATAATAATAATTACAGGTAACAAACATACATCACTTAAGTAGATTTACAGACTTCAACACATCAAACACATTTGCAATCAATGAAAAGACATGAAAGCTATGAACACACCAGAAGAACACCTGAGTGTGCAATAACAGGCTGAGATCACAATTGAAAAACCTTATTTTGCCCAATCCAAAATCTTCACACTCACAGACTTGCACCTTTGAGGTGTGTTCCTGGTAAGTGTGTGAGTGCTTACTGCTGCCCTGCAGTTTTTCTCATAGTCATGCACTGCACGCCTAACACTATTAACATCTCTTAGAGTCCTGTTCTTCGGCTTAAAGGTGGAGATTGGGATTTTTGCAATTGACACCTACATTAAGTAGACATATTCTTTAAACTCGTTCAACCTGTCTCTTTAAAACTTATTTTTATATTATCCATCGATCTAAATCTGAATCCAAATCCAATTAAAAATGCACACACACACATTTAAGCTGTTCCTTTACCCCTCTGTTATATAAATTAAAAAAATCAGCTGGAGGGATATTCAGCAATTGTGATAGATAGCTCAGCGCATGACACACTCACAGACTCTCTAAACCCCACTTTTTATATATTTGAGACTCCCCCCCACCCCGCACACACATTTAATTCAAATGATTCTAAATTGTAAGGAGGTTGAGTCGGTGCCAGCTGATCAGTCACTCATGCAGAGGAACCTCAGTGCGGAGCAGTTTTATTTATAACCACCTTGAATGTATAATTTTGGGTTAGCGGTCGGGGTTCTCTTTAAGCATGACTGCGTCGGGTAATTGTCGTCATCTTTCTGTCAGTTTGGTTTATTTCTGCAACAGCAGATTTCCACTGAGAGGTTTTGGTGGCAGAGGGGAGTTTCTCCCTCAGAAATGTTGTATTGTGTCAGATCCATTCAGGTATTGTAGGACGATGGCACCAACTCACTTGAACTAATTACTTTCTTCCGTTTTTTCACTCTTAGTTTTGCGGAGCGCAACTACTTCATAGACATATTTTCTCACCCTCTTACTTTTCAAATGTATTTTCTTAACTTTGGTGGACATTCTATATAAATATGAAACTCTCGGACTAAAATTAGAGTAATGCATTGTAGATTAGAATCTAATTATATTACTAAATACTCCTGAGGTTTTAGGAGTTTAGGTGTTTTTACTCACTTGCTATATGTATTGTTCGAGAGTGTTTAATATCAAAATGTTTAACTTATTTGATATATATTACATTAAAGGCTTTATATGTGAGGCTTTAAATAGCATATAAAGCCTTTAATGTTGCTGTGTTTATTTCGGTCTTTCATGTGCAGGCTGCTCGATTCAAGTTGCCCCAAAAGCGATAAATACTGTTGTCTAGATTGGATTAAATTGGGAAGACATCGCAGCATCTACAGATAACCTCTGTGGGTCAATATAAGCTGCTTCATGATGGCAGTACCATGAATGGCCAACTTGTAAAATGGGGGCAGTATACTGTATAGAAGCGTCTTTGTATCCACTTCAATTAACTAAGCTAATGTTGAAAAATTAGGCAATAGGGAAGTGCAAACTGCAATTCCCTGAGTGTCCACTTGAGACTGTCAACCCTATCTCCCATTAACTCTCATGTTAAATTTCTCATTTTCACAGCAGTAATAAACATGTTTACAGCCTAATTAAAATGGTTTTGGTCCATATGGTAAATTTTTTGTATTGGTCCACACTGTATGTGTCGTGTTTTTAATCAGTTTTGATCATATCAAGGAAAAGAGTTAGGCATAAATTTGCAATTATAGAGGTAGCTGATCTGAATGACAGATCAGATTGATCAAAAGTCAGTTTGTAAGACAGTATTTACTATTTTCAATATGGCGGCTGCGGTCATTGGGCTTCAAAACTCCTCTTCAGAAACAAATTTGTTAAAGTCAAAGAGAGTACATCCATGTTTAACACACGTTTTTTTTTTAAAGCATTGAATTAAGCCGAGCTAATTTTGCACTCGATTGGCTAATTGCCTTCAGCTGCTCCATTCATGAATCACCATCATTGACTCATTGACCAGCTTGCCGACACATCTCAGCATTGCTCTGCTGATATACTCATTCATCAGCATCGCCCTCAACCAACACAACCTCCTCTATATGTGCTGAACTTTTGTTTGTTTTGTATTATAAATTCTAATAATCGTTGTTTGAGTTTGCTTAATGTTTGCAGCAGAATCATCGTTGCTGCTCTGACTCTCGATGAGCGATACATTTTCGGCCCTGACAAAACCTGTTGATTGAAGAGGTTAAAGCACATCAGAGGAGAAGTCTTTAAAATGTATTATGCTCTTCTGCTCATGGAAGAATCATAGATTATTTTTACAGTTTTTTTTACACTGGATTTCAGTTTTTATTGTTTTCGGTGCTCACTAACATTTACTATAAATCCATTTATTCCAGAGGCGAAAAACATGAGCGAGAAACTGTAAACAAATTGGATAATTTTCTTCTCCTGTAACCTGTAACCTTAACAAACACCCACTTGAAGTGTTGTACTTAGTCTGTATGAACGCTTCTAGATTCCTTTTGTGAAGACTATAGGAATGCGTTTTACACATTCAGGCATTTAATGAAATGTCAGAAAAGAACAGAATCTTTGTGGCTGGTACAGACAGACGGACCATTACGTCAGCCATGCCTTCGATAAAGATCTACATTTCTTTACTGAACCAGTTTTAGCTCGAAACTAATAAAACACGAGGATCTGAGGGGCCAGCTTTAGCAGCCGAAGCTGAACAGGATCTCCGAGATGCAGAGAAATCCCTACTAATGCTCCTGATATTTCTACAGGAATGTACGACATGATCTCTACATCTTGATATTAAAAGTGCATGTCCGGAATCTACTTGATCGTCTGCACCTGCAGGATAGATTACTGGGACTCACATATTCATATATATTTTATCTTATAGACAGAAAACAAACGTCCCCCTTGTTTGCTTTGTGGCCATGTGTGTTTACTTTGAATGAACAGCTCCTGCTTGGGCATCCTTAGAAAAAATGAAACCTTTTATTTATTTATTTATTTTCCCATATGAAATGCTCGTTTTATAATCACAAAGCACTGTGTGCATGTGACGGACAATATAAAAACAATTTGCGGTGAATGATGCACACTCAGTTTGCTCACGGTGCCTCCCGGTCTTCCAATGGGAGAAATTTAAGTCAAAAATAGAAGTATAAATATTTAGTCATTTTTGTTATGTAACCTAAAGGCTATTTCCTTTTATGACCTGACATTAAAGCACTACCTTATTTAATGGTAAAACTTCTTATTGTGTGCTACTTACTAGGGCTGGGAAATACAATATATCGAGTTTTTAAGATATATATCGATATATTTTCAAACAAGATATAAGGTAAGACAATATCGTTTAAATCGATATAGTTTATGTTGCATTAAAATAAAGTTACAGAGGTGCCAGGTCACCTTTTTCTCATCTCACTGATGATGACTGACTGTCTGTCCCTCTTCACCCTGCTCCTCCTCTCTCTCTCTTTTATTGTATTTAAGGAACATTTTTATTTTAGAATATTACTTTTTAAATTCACAAACAGGTAGTTTATATGTGTTTTCACTGTTAATAAAATACATATCGATATATATCGAGTATCGCCATTCAGCTAATCAATATCGAGATATGAGTTTTGGTCTATATCGCACTAGCCCTACTTACTCACTACACTCTGCCAGCTAACGTGATATTTGTAGAGGCGCTTAAATCAACAGGTGCCTCAAAGACTCAGGAAGAGAAAAGGTTGTGAAATCAATTCAGATAATGGGGCCTCGACAGAGCTAATTATGGGTTTGTGAGAGCTGCTTATGGACATAAGAAGGTCACAACAAACAGAGGGTATGATTTATTTAGGACTAAGCTGTCCAGCAGTCAGAGGGAACTGCACGAGGAAACCCCCTGAAAAAAAAAAAACACCTGTCAAAATAATTGTACTCATGTTGAGCTTGATACGAGTGCCAGTACTATTCCCCCCTCTGCGTTCTCTATGTGTGTGTTGTTGTGCAATGGTCCTCCAATAATATTTATTTGTTGCAGCACTTCAAAGACTGAGCTCCAATGTCTGCGTGGCTTTAGGCTTTGTCACAGCAGCTCAGCTTTGTGAGGCTTAATCTGCGACCCCCCCCCCTCTGCTCTCACGAATATATCAATGAGAGTGCAAGTAAAGCTCTCCAAGAACTAAACAAAACTCAGTGTACCCATCAGTGCAATGGATACTCTAAATATGAAGGACAGTGATTGGTGACTACGAGTCCCTCTCTACCTCTTCCTGTCTCTACAGTTGGGTCCTTTCACAGAGCTAAGACTCAGATAAAGCACTTAAATTAAATGTTTTCAAAATATATGTAGTGGGAATTCTGGGACAACTCTTCAGACAAGCGAATCAGTAAAATATTGTGTTTCTTAGGTGACCATTTGTGTGTCCATGAACACGACCGGGATCTCTGTCTGCTAGCTGCATTGCATTCAAGTCAGTGAGCTGATTTGAGGAGGTCTGGCCTATAACTTCTTCTCTGATATGTATCTCTGTGATCTATGGACTGTCAACCAACCTGACATTTACTGTTGATGTATGTACACAGATTTCACAATTCATCAAACTTTAGATGGTAGCATTGATGCCACGCCGTCAAAATTGTGTCATCCTTCACCGTCCACCACTTCTGTCTGTCAGGTGTCTCAGATCGCTGTGGAGAATCTGAAGTTTTTAAAATATGACTGGCAGCGGGTCTTTCTACCTTTCCCAAGAAGAAACCACATGTGTCAGACATGTCCAAAGGAGACGGTTGGAAGGCCCTGCAGAGTTTTACAGGACGTATTCTACCACTTCAACAAAGTTGGATGTGCTATGAAGATTTTTACAGATGTGTGGAGAAAAAAAATCTGAGATACATTTTTTTCCTCTTCTGCATTTAAGACAGAAATATAAAGAAGAGATAAGAATGTGTAAGTCTTTTTTGGGAAAGTTGACAATTGCTGGGCACTTCGATGTTTACTATTTGGCATTCTGATAACTGCCTGTTAAAAAAACTATAACTTAGACACTGGCTACAATTTAATGAAATCTATGTTATGGAAAAAATGACCTTCGCACTTTGTTTAAAATGGATAGATTTAAGCAATTACGGTGAAGATGGGTCTCGTATGTACGTTTGTCATGGCCACACTTCCCAGAATTGGTAAATTAACAGATACTTTAAAGGCTTTATATGTGATTTTTTGATCCAGCAGATGTCGCCATTGAGCACCAGCATGAAACCAAAACAACTCGCGCTGCATTGTTGTGTTAGCATGCTAATGCTAGTGATCTTTATTATGCTCGCATCTTCACACTGCATGAATTCCCTTAACTTTGTAATCTGTTTTTCCCCTCCTGTTTTTCAAAGCTGATAAAAGTATATTGTATTGTATTACATTGTATTGTATTTACACCGAGATTCTTGTTAATACACGCAGAGTCTTAGAACTATAGGGGGATGAAATAATTTTTTGTAAATAAAAGGCTTTCCAAATTTCTTTGTGAAAATGGGCAGAAAAAAAGGTTAACCAGCTGATTTTTTTTTTTAATCAGACTAAAATAATTTTGTTTTTTGAATTTGATGCGCTTTTGCCCTAAATCAATATTACAACAATTACCAGTTAAATACATCCCCCCACCCCGGAAAAAAAAGGTGTGTGTTCCCTTTTTCAGTGGTTAATAAAAGACTTACTAAAAAAAGTTTGCTTAGGGAATTTGCACTTTACTGCTCAATCACATGCCTTCCCAGGAGGCCGTGGAGTCTCCCTCTGGCAAGAAGTAGGGCAATTTGTTTGGCCCCTGCATAGAAAGACAGGGTGTGTTCGGTTGTTCTTGATATTTCCTGCTCCCTTGGCAGTAAAGAAACATCACTGAAAAATCGTTCTCCTTGGCCTATTCTAACATCTTGGGCTCCACGGGAGTGAGAAGCCACATGCATCAGTCCCCAGACTGTGTCAAGGCCAGTGGGTATATGCCTGGACTAGTAAAGGTCATATCAGCTCACTTGTTTTCTGCAATGCAACCCAGGACTATAAGCCCAATGTTTGCTGCTTTCTGATAGATATATGTTTGTATGAACCCTAAGCTGTGAATTATATGAGCATGAGAGGCATGCAGCGGGAGCGTGCCTATGTGTTCCCAAATTTCTACGATTTCTTTCCAAAATTAGGCCCTACGTTCCCACATTTCCTTTTTCATAAATTTGTATCAGATTTTATCCCCCTTTCTCCCAATTTTGTAGCTAATTACACCCAACCTATTATCCAGTAGCAATGGACTACAGGTAGAATGTAGCTTTTAGCTAAATCTGGTGCGCCCAAACATTTAATGTAAATGCACATTGTCCTTTTAAATAAACAAACTAAACTACAGAATTCTTGTGGGAGGATAGGGCTTAAATTGAAGGGAAATGTAGGAACACAAGACCTAATTTTGAAAATGTCCTAGAAATATGGGAACATCCATCCAGCCACCACTTTACTTTCATGTACTTAAAGTCTTTCTATGTGATTTTTCACACTTAAATGTAGAAATCAAGTATCTCCTCTGAAAATAACTCTGTGAGTCATGACTGTCTACAATGGGTGTAACACCCGAGTCCCACTGTCTGTGATGTTTTCAGAGTTTTCAGAGTCCTATCTTCACTTTGTTTACATCGCCAGGACGGCCGGCTGACTCCTCCCCTCGCGTATAAAAGTTGTTTAATTGAGGGACTAGAGAAAAGAAGAATAACATACTGTACTCACTGCTTAACTGTGTTTCTAGATCACGCTCATTTCAGGTAAATTTACATGCAGTGTGAAGATACCAGCATAATAAAGATCATTAGCATTAGCATGCTAACACAACAATGCAGCGCGAGTTGTTTTGGTTTCATGCTGGTGCTCAAGGGCGACATCTGCTGGATCAAAAAATCACATATAAAGCAAGTTTTATCTTTTCCTCGAACACCCGACAGGAAAAAGCATCGCACTCACACATTTATGCACACAGTGTTATGTGTCTACCTGTTTGACTGCCCATAGTAGCCTGCTGTAGCAATAGATCATCACCAGCACCGGTATCCCCAGGCAGAAGATGAAGAGGCAGATGATGTAGGCGTGCGACTGAGCCGTCCGAACCGTCCAGGATACCGAGCAGCTGGTTCCCGCCCCCTCGATGCCATAGCTGCTCCAGCCCAGCAAAGGGGGCACAGTCCAGAACAAAGAGTACAGCCAGGAGCCACCGACGGCCAACAGGGGCTTACGGTAGTTCGGCCCGCGCTTGTTGTAAACAGTCAGAGTGCTGTAGCGGTCGTAGGAGAGGATGACCAGAGAGATCAGCGAAACAATACCTGAGGAGAGACGGAGAGACGGCTGTGAGTCCCCGAGATCAACATCACAATATTACAGAGAAACATCAAACTTATATAAAAACTGAAAAAATAGCACCGTCAAAAAAGGGCTCCATAAAACTTAGATACAAGCAAATGTATAAACTCTTACAAGAGACAACAGACAATACTAGCTGATCTTTGAGTCTCGATTTCGCAATGCTTTTGGCTCAATGCGCAAAGCGCTTCTTTAGTAGGTTTAAACTTTTCTGCATTTAAAATGTGAATTTAGCCGATGTTAGCAACATTTCCTATTTAGCAGGAGACCCAAATCACATTTGAAGCTGGTTTCAATGTCATAAGTTATGCAGTAGATTCACTCATAAGCTTAAAACAAAGTAAAAAATGACATTTTTGAGCATGAAGATTGTGCTAAAATATCATCAAGGTGATTGCAAAGCATCCAGGGAGATCATAAAAGTCTCAACCATGAATGCTGTGAAGAGAAATCATGGCAAGTATTACTGTAGCATTTTAGTCTTTAGGTAAAATAAATTAAAATCTCTGCATTGTAATTTACTTATTTGATCACAAAACAGTATATCAGGATATGTAGCTGCATAAATGTTTTTGTACACAGCTGACAAAATGTTGGTGGGCGACACTCCTGTCTGTTAACACCTGACAGTAACACATCCTCCTGGGTGAGCCAATCACATTGCACAGCTGTGATGTGTCCAATATGCAAAACAAAAAGTGTTGACCAGGTGTTGACATCCAATTGCTCAGACAATATTTGGAGGTTGGGCCCTTTTTCTTCCAGTGTTGTTTATGCAGATGGTTCTGGGCCACACTGAAGGACGGCCTCGTCTCTTTAAGGAAGGCAACGATTGCTTGAGAGACATGACTGAACTGTTTTTCTTGAATGATTAATTGCTTTGAATTTGTGTCTTCTCAAACTTTTTTTTATGTTAAGAACACATTAAATTATTCTGTACAAACAATACTGTACAAATCTTAAATCTGAATGATCCAGGTATGGTAAAACATTATTTTTTCAATAGAGGGAAATCCCTTGCCGGCGGGGTGAAGAGTGTGAGCAATATGTCTGTCACTGTAAAGAGACATCTGTGATAAAACACAGACGTGATGAACGATACATTAGACCATGTTGACACTTCTGTTGGAAATCCCACACTGCCTCTCTATCGCTATCATGAAACCTCTCTCTCTCTCTCTCTCTGCATCACACTTTTTCACAACTTGATGGCTCTTTTACTTCAACTATGTACGTTTTTGTTTGCATGCAGAACCGGTAAGAGGGATCCCAACATGGTTCTAGTGGTCACATGTGGAGACACATTCTAATCTCATGGTGTGACCTGCTGTACTGAGAGCTGTCCACTCATCACATCACACAAGATGCATGCTAATTACAGGTCTAGACAGGGAAAATTCGACAGTTTACTTAATGGAATAATGATGTGATTCTGATGTGAGCTGATGTAAGGACACTTATTTATACCATGAGTCATAAGGGCTGTGCACAGACTTCAAGATGGTTGTTAATGCAAAGTGTAAACATGACCGTATATTTTATTAAGAGGGACCTGGCTAATGCATTTTTCCGCTGATTGCTGACAGTATAACAGCTGATTGGCTGCCAGATCTTCTTATTTTTCAAACCTAGGCTGTGGCAACACAATGACATATACAGTACATACAAAAAAAAACACTTGAATGATTGTGTAAGAAATGCCAAATTTAGCTCTTCCACTGTCCTACACTGTGGACAAGTGAATCAGTATGTGTGAGGTTTCTAAACCTTTTGGCATCTCATAAGACGTTTTCACATTTGCACTCAGGAGGACTGCTCCGGAGATTCTCCCGACCTGGCTGTTCACGTATGCTCCTCAGGTGACTTGACACAAAACAATTAAAGAATTGGCTCGAGGTGAATTCTCCAGAGAATATCCTGCGGCCTTTTCACATCAGCCCACTCAGACTTGCAGCGGAAAAAATGTTCGGGTCTGGCAGGAGAAACTCTGGGTGAATTGCGAGTGAAAAACATGGCTTTAAATAAGTCTCAGAAGTGTTGGAGCAAAAATGAATCCCACAGTCACTCATCAGATTTTCACACTGGGGAACCAACCACGGCTACCCCACACACACCACCACCACTCTTTATTTGAATCTTTTAGGCTGTGTCTGAAACCACGTAGTAACATACAGTACTGTCAGTCGGCCATGCAATTTACCAACAATATACAAATAGTCATTGTTATACAGCTAAGCCATTATTTTAATATCATTTGGCCTAAGCCTAAGCCACTGGATAGCCAAAGAACGGCAATGCATTGTGGGGCATTTGAGTATGAAAAGTGACCTGCTGACCTAAAAATCATGACCAATATAGTTTACAACTGGGCCCTTCTGAGGCCTTTACCGCCAATCCTCTTAATTATTAATCATTGATTGGTTGGTTAATTACATTTGGTTCAACATGCCCAAATACATCAACTTGTTGGCTGAATTATTCGTTTGGCACTCTCTAGCAGTGGCGATTCTAGAGTCTCTTGGGGCCCTAAGCAAGAACCATTTGGGGTCCCTCCACCCAGCGGTCATCACCATTATGTCTGCCAGTGTCACAATGCTTACTCCTCTTCCTCTTCTTACCTCTCCTAACAACAGATTGTTCCTTTTCATTTTACTTCTTTGGGCAACGAGAGCAAGTCCCGTCAAATTGGGGAGGTTTCCTATGCTGTCATTGCAAAACATTTCCACTGCTTTGGTTCAAGTTTGTTACTTCAGGGGCCCCCTACTGGTCCAAGGCCCCAAGCAGTTCAAATTCAATTCAAATTCAAAAAACTTTATTTGTCCCCGGGGGGCAATTCAAAGGCACACAGAGCAGTAAATTAACAACAGCGCAAGTACGAAACATTTTAAACCTAAAATATAAAGTGTCAATTTAAATACAACTTAAAGCTTAGACTTAACTTAAAATACAAAATATAAAAAGAATAGATATAAGTGGACAGTGAGCGGACTAACAGATGTAAACAGCACTGTTTACAGTTGTTTGCCTTGCCTTGTTGACAAGAAGCGCCTCTGCTCTCTAGGCATGAATAAGTAATCGTTGTGTTTTTGTGATGTGTTACAACATACAGTTAGCCTAAAAAACACAAGTCATTACGTGCCATCTTGTACCTACAGTACATCTGAGCTCGCTTTGTGTGGGGGAAAACAAACAAAAAAATATATTTTCTGCCATCCAGCCCTTTTTTTCCCACCAGTGCTGTAAATCACCAAGAATGACAGCAAAGTGCTTCCTATACACTCAGTGACAGTAATAACACCACTCAAGTGCGTGGCAGTGTGCGTGTGAATGAACATGAACATAAGAAGATTTGTGGTGTTTGTGATTTTGACTTTAAATGAGGAAAAGCCATCCTCTGAAACTCATCTGACTTTCAACATCAATTCTCATTCTGAAGAAGCTCTCATGAGGCCGAGGCAATGCAGGAGGAGAGGAGTTAGCCTGCGAGGATGTTTCCTGATACAGTATGCATGGCTTGTATCTGCCCCTATGCTCATATCCAGTTCCTTCACTGCATACTAAAATGAAAGCGGACGCGTTCCGCCTGGGGCTGTTTGTTCACAGCAAAAAGATTAAAAATCAGTGAATCCTCTTTGTTTATCCTTTCTCCGGTAAAAAAACAAATATCAAAATTGTTTCCACAGCGGTGATCTTGGAATGCCTGAGGGGAAAGAAAATGCACCATCGGGGGACACCCGAGAGAGCCCTTTATCCCCGTTTCTGCCTCAGAGTGAGGAGCACTTTATCACGATTTTTCCACTTTAAAAGGGCACTTTATCATGTTTCATCCAACAGAGGGGCATCCAAGAGGGCACTTTGCCCCCCCCATCCCCCTAGCCCACCCCACGTTTCGAGTCCACTGCAGCATGTGCTATATCAAAAAAGAAAATACATCTTCCATCAAGACTTACATCACTCAAACCCGACCCTGCTTTTAAAATGTGCATTGGAGAGGACAAAGACGTATTAGATTAAATACAGATTAAGTTGATCACTAAAAACAGCTGCAGAACATTTTATAGAGGACTAATGCTTCCTGAGATAACCCAATGTCATTTTCAAATCCAACATTAAAGGCTATGACTCATTTGCTGCTAGTACTTCCTCTCTGACGTTCCTGAACTTTATGATTCTCCCCCTTTTTGCAGGTGCACATTTATACTGCCATTATTCAAGTAGCAAACACTGCTTTCCCAGTAGTTACAGCGCCCCCTCCTGGCCTGGAGCACGTCGTTGTGAGGACCTGACATGCAGAGTTTTTCATGGGTTTTTGTTATCTGTTTTTTTCCTTTACTTTCTCTCTACTTTATAATAATTTGAATTATGTTCACAAATAGATACTTGTTTGGAGGTATTTTATATGATTTAATTTCTGCTGTTTTTTATGGACATCTTTTGGGCTGTACTTGCACTTGTGGGCCGCTGTACATAAATATGTCAAGATCTGAGCCAAAACATCCTTTTTTTCTGCGATATACAAAGTAGTCTTCTTGCTATACCCCATCAGACTAACTAGTCTGTATAGAGCGCCACAGGAATGAGTCCTAAAACCCTGAAGTAAGTTAGCATTTGAGCGCCATGGGGTCTAACGTCTAAAAGTCAACGGGGATTTTGAATGTGTTTGTGGTTAGACTCCTGAAATAAGGTCTGTGGTTAACACAAGCTGAAGAGATGTTGGTGTTTTGTTAGACCACATAAACTACGTTAGGTAATACCTCCACTTGTGAAGTTTGAAGTTTTTACTCGTCTTTAAAAAGGCGGTTGCTAACAAGCGGCTAAATGTGAGTACAGTGGTTGTCGGGGACATTAAACATCATCACGCCGGACACAGAGGGCGGGAACTCTCTCACTAGTCGGAGATGTCTCCTGTAGGTTTAATCTTTAGGTTAAGGTGAATATTATGTTAGTAAACTATTTATTAAAC